AGATAGATAGATAGATAGATAGATAGATAGATAGATAGATGATAGATAGATAGATAGATAGATAGATAGATAGATAGATAGATAGATAGATAGATAGATAGATAGATAGATAGATAGATAGATGTTAAGAGTGTGAATACTTTGTTACACAGGATCAGGTTGGTTTGTATCAACAAACTTGTAAATTATTCATCTTTTTCTTTATTTAATGTCAATTAAAATCGTTTTACGGTCTGAAACATATGGGTTAGAAGAAATGAAACCAGATGAAAAGTTTTTCACATCTCTGTAAATGAAAGGTTCATGTTCCATTTGACTGGAACCAGGAAGCCAGACTCACTGCTTTAAAGTTGATGTTGACGGTCAGAAAATCCTTGATCGATGCATTAAAGCGGAATTGTCCAAAATTGAGAAGCAGCCAGCTTCTGTCGTCAGTGACGTTACCGGACTCGACACACGAGAGACCTTAAAGTCAAAGGATCAAATGTCTAGGATTACAATTGAGATTAGGCGTTTGAATGCCAGGCGGTGTTAATCCGGGATGATGTTGAGGTTACCTGAGGACTTCTGTCCTTCGAGATAGTCCAGGGTAAAATTCAGCACCAGCTGATTCTGTTCCTCTGAGAGCTGACCGATTATGTTGTCAAACCCTTTGACACTAAGAAGAAAGTCTCAATCATTAAGACTTCACCTTCCAGAACCTCTACTGTATTTGTTTTACTCACATCTCTTGATAGGAGCTACAGGTGATGTTCCTGGGAATGACCTCGAAGGTTCTAGAGTCAGCACTTGGGAGGAAGAGAGGAAGGTAATTCTGGAACCATAGCTGAAACCCTTCTGTCATCAGAAGGTAGAATTTGGGCTCCAGTGCTGTTAGCGTCATATTCAGGAGGATGTGGCGCACGTCTGTACTGAGAGAGGTCAGGTTTCGCTGCAGAGAGAGATGAGAGTCGGTCAGAAGATGCTTTAAGGAGGACAGTCATCAAAGCTGATCAGACGGAACACTACCTTCGCAGCGCCGATCACGAAGGAATGAAAGAAAGAGGCGAGGTTTTCTAAAGATGACGAATTAGTGAGCGTCTTGAAGACCAGAGTCACCACAGTCTCATTAGATATGGACTGAAGAATGAATTCAGCTTTCTGTTCTGGAGAAGAAGACTCCAATATACCTTCCTGAGGCAGAGAGGAGGACAAAGAGGTTGTTTTTGGCATTGTTGAAGTGCGAGTTGGTCACAGTTTCCAGCGTGGTGTAGAAACATGACTCACCAAAGAAATGTTAAAGAACCGAAAGTCAGCGAGCGTCAAGAAGCGGGAAAAGGGTCCCAGGTTCACCCGAATCCATTCGGCATCCATCTGATTTTCCGGCCTGCAAACTAAAAACATTACAGAATGTAAATGTTGTAACCCGTTGCCTTTGGCTTGCTGTTAAATCCAGAATAGAATTTAAAATCCTTCTTCTTGCATATAAAGCCTTAAATGGCCAAGCTCCATCTGATATCAGAGCTCTGATTGTTCCTTATGTTCCTAACAGAGCACTTCGCTCTCAATCTGCAGGTTCCTAGAATTTCTAAAAGTAGAATGGGAGGCAGATCTTTTAGTTATCAGGCTCCTCTCCTGTGGAACCA